CCCGCCCCTCAGCCCCCAACGGCCTCTTGAACTAGGTTGACGTTTCGATATTGAAGGCATTTCAGAATTTCTATTGCGAGTATACGACGACGTAATAAATGCCTTAATATGCATGAATTTAACTCACCTAATAGAATTATTTTTCGACAAGGCAAGAAATGTTAAATTGTATAAAAATTATTATATTTCATCAATTCATGTCCACTTATTTTCTTCTAACTATTCAGTTACTTCAGATCTAGATTAAGTAATGCTAAAAAAATTTTTATACAAAACAATTTATCCTCCCCATCATATAATTCATGGCCTATGTAATACTAAAATATAAATTGATTATGAATGATGTTTTCCTTCAAACAGATGTACGCTTATTTAAATACGTACCTACTCATCATGACCATCTTCTCTTGCGATCGTAAAACTTAATAAAGCGTTAAGTTCTTGCAAGCTTTGGCGCCGCTACATTTGAATGCTTAAATACAGAGCCATCTAGCGACGAGTAGGAAATAACACAACATATGACCACAAACATTTAAATAGATTTTGTTATGATATGTAGTGTTCCTGGCATAATAAAATAATGCAATGAAGCTAATTTGTATTATAATCAATTGTTCTAGAAACATAGAGTTTACATTGACGATAAATATACGAAGCTCGATTTTCTGACGAAGACAAAAAATCGACAGGCTTTCTCTTACGAAAAACAAACAGAAAGCAATTTTCTGTCGTCTAATATTTCAACGCTGTCATAAGTTTTTTCCCTTTACGTTAATCAGGAATGTCAAACAATTTGTATTGATATAAAAACAACGTTTGATTTCATATTTTATAGTTTAATTTTGATTTGATGACTTTTAATTACATTTGTGGATATTTTTTTACAACCTTGTCAGTAAAAACATAAAATAACTGAATTAAATTCGAAAAATAATTAAAAGTGAATAATTGATTGTTATTTTAACATAATAGAAAATGTAAAAAACAGTGTGGTTTCCAATCGTAATAATTGTACAAACTATTTTGTTTGTTTGAATAGTACAAACTTATGGTAAGAAATACAATAATGTGTTTGTTAATATTTTGAAGAATTAATTCTGCACATGTAATCTTTTGATATACATTTTCATTTATTACGTATAAGCCCGGATAGCTCAGTCGGTAGAGCATTGGACTTTTAATCCAAGGGTCCAGGGTTCAAGTCCCTGTTCGGGCGACTTCTTTTTGTCAAATATTTTTACAAGCACATTATATGTCTATATTTCAGCAATTTCTGTTAGAAATTTATTTATTTATTATGTTATAAATTTATTAAAAGTCCAATGCTTACACATAAATTAACATTTTAATTAAATACGTTATTAGAAATAGATTCTTTAGCCGTCTACCGATTCATTGACAATATTTGTAGTATGGTTAGCTTCAATTAAAAAAAAAACGAGTGTCGAGATTCGCAACAAAAAGCTATGCTTATATTAGTAACTATATGCAATGTTTTAAACTAATTAATGTTACTGTCGTACTAAAAGTAATGACCCTAAGTATTGAATTAATTTGAGATACCTATACTGGGGGACTGTTTTAACCATAATAAGCTCTGAATGAGGTAGTTAAACACATTTTCATTCGTCAATGAATTTAACTTTTAATATTCTTGCCAATTTAAAATTAACACGCACACATATTCATTCATAAGTACATAAAATAATGATGAACGAATTTGTATATTTTTGGTTCAATTCTCTAGCTATCGATCGGTACTAGCGTTACCCTGCCGTTGCCCCGTCACCTGTCTTTCAGATCTAATGAAGTGTAATTTATATTGCTTATATGTACGTAAGTGAAATGAGACATTAATTCTTATGTGTATATTATGAAAGAGTAAAAAATATACACCCCTGTCCTATAATAGGGTAGACAGAAATGAATAAAGTTCTTTCTTACTTCCTTATTTACATGAGAAGTAATAAGTACTTAAGTCAATTATTGTATTGTATATAAACTTTTATATATTTTTATATATACTTTTTACATATAGAAAAATGAAAAAACTTTCTTTGTTCATTATGAAATTTTCATATTATTCCATCTTAGGCATTGCAATGCACGTTTGATTCCGTTTATATAAAATCCAAGGCGCCTAAAGGAAGTCTGACAAAAAACAAAAGTAACCAATCACATTTAGAACAACATAGTGTTGTGTGGATGGCGTATCGTATCCACAGCCCACAGTACACTTTCGTTGTATTGATTCTCTGATTAGTGGGAAACCATACAGAGCCCCACTCAATAGCTGGAAGTGACGAACGCCAACGCTCTTTAACTGTATAAAACAAATATATTTTCTATACATCTTTGCTAATTACTTCTAAAAAAACAAACAAATTAATTTAACAAATAAGTTTTTATTTGTCGTTGTCTATTTTATGTCATTAAAATATTATCATCGACCTTGCTCTATCGCCCTTCATGTGATGAACATTAAATCATTCTTTTTTGCATAATAGATGGCGCTAGTTGTCTTAAAATCCTGATATTGTATTTTGTGTAAATAAAATTAGTAATAAAAATGCATTCTTAGTAGAGTTCTGAGCTTTCTAATTCGTAAGTAACTAACTTCGAGGATTATTTTTACGTTTAATTATATTTATTATTAGGTTCTTGACACAAATTGAATTCTACAATAAAAGTAGCTTTCTCGTAGAATACATAAAAGCAAGGATATAATGCTGAAAGTCTTCAAAAGCAGTTGAGATGATAGTTATAAGTTATATCCGCAATGCCAGTCCTTATATCAGTTACACGAAACTTTTCTCTAATATGAAAGTACATGCCTT